CTGCCACTGGCTCTGAAGGTACTGAGACCGTGATCATTGAAGTTCCAACTCCAGTTACATCAACCACATCTACCTGGTCAGAAACGTATACTTCTACCACCACTGCCACTGGCTCTGATGGTACTGAAACTGTGATCATCGAAGTCCCAACTCCAGTGACATCAACCACATCAACATGGACTGGATCGTTTACTACAACCACCACTGCCACTGGCTCTGATGGCACTGAAACTGTGATCATCGTAGTCCCAACTCCAGCAACTACTACTACAACAAGTTGGACTGAGTCTTACACTTCTACCACCACCGCAACTGGATCTGATGGTACCGAAACTGTTATTATTGAAGTTCCAAGCTTGTTAGTTTCTTCAAGTGAGACCACAAGCTCAGGAATCTTGATTTCTAGCTCTGCTACTGTTTCATCTGATTCTTCACTTGAATCTTTGTCTACTGATACCCCAATTATTAGCTCCTCGCTGCAATTAAGTCTGCAAATGTACTGGAATACAAGTTCAACAGAATCTCTGACGGAACTGTTCTCAACCAAGGCTCTGACAGATATACCTTCAACTGAGTTACCTTCAACTGAGTCCTTGACTGAGGTGCATACCAGTGGAACTCTGACTAAGTCATCATTGTCCGATACTTTGACTGACAGACTTTCTAGTGAGACTCTGACTAAAGCATCTCCATCAGAATCTCTGAAAGAGACAGCTCCACGCGAGACACTGACTGAGACTGCTTCAGGTGAGACTCTGACAAAGACTGCTTCCGATGAGACTCTGACTAAAGCATCTCCATCAGAATCTTTGACTAAGACTCGTTCCGATGAGACTCTGACTAAGACTGCTTCCGATGAGACGCTGACTAAGACTCCTTACGATGAAACTCTGACCAAGACTCCTTTTACCAAGACTCAAACTGCCTTACCTCCAACATTGAGCACAAGTTACACTAAAGACACTTCGAGCAAGCCTTCAAGTAATCAAATGGTTACAATTGTAACCACCACCAGTGAGACAATGTACACTATTGTTCCTGGAACATCAGTTGTTGTGACATCTACTGAGGTATTAACTAGTATGAATGATGGTACTACATCATACATGACTACCGTTTACACATCAACCAAGCCACTCGTTGAAACATCAGTTACTACATACGAAGTCACTACAGAGGTTGAGCAACCACCATCTACAAGCCAACCTACTCCTGAGATCAACAACACTATTCCAACGGAAGGAGCACCTGATTACACACCTTCAAGTGTTCTTACCGTGATGATATCCACAACTGGACCTAAGGGAAGTGGTTCCACTACTACCTCAGGTCAAATGGTACCTGTTTCTAGCCAAACTAGCGTACCATCCGATGCCATAGTTACAACTTACGAGGGTAAAGCCTCTCAACAGCATATTATGGGATTGAGCGCCATTCTTGTTATTCTCCCACTTCTTTTGGTTTAATGAAAAAAAGGGTGCATGGACATCCATTAAATTATTTTGCACAGCATAGAACAGAATTTATCTATATAACGTTTATATATGGATAATAGGAATTATTTAGTTATACATTACCGTAAGCATGAGTGTAGGTATGCTTTAGGTCCGGTACGAACGACGAGTTATGTGCAGTACGTTATAGAGACAATAAAACCTTACTATTGTGACAAGATCTTGGATTGCTCGGAAGTTCTAGCGATGGTGCTTCCGATTTGTAGTCCTGCATATTGACGAGATTTCTTCTTTCTCATGGCAACAGCAAAAAGGATCACCCGTACCACACAACAACTGTACAGACACATATCGACACATCGTACGGATACACGCTCAGTCTTGGGATGCTACAGTCAGACCATGTTGCATGTAGTGGCTCAGTGGCCGTCACCTTATTATGCTTTAAAGGTCACAGCTACAGAATGTGGAGAAGCATATCCGTACAGTACCATAACGTTGAAAGTGTACGTCACAAAAAACAATCAGTCCTTCAACTTTTGAACCCTTTCATATTCCTCTGAGGCAAGAGAAAATACGAAGTGAAAATAAATAACTCAAAGCGGTACCATTGTGTTAATGAATGTTCTTTACTATGCTGGTGCTCGGCGAAGCTTAAAATGGAGGATATTTTTTTCACATTGATTATAAAATTTAAGTTGTAACTTAAAATCTATGTGGAAGTGGTTAAGGTTATGCCGGCACGGGTGGACTCGATATACGGTAGTGAGTCGATGCTCGCGTCGATGTGCACTTATGAGTCTATACATTGAAGTTTTGAACGGATACGCTGCTGAACGGATACGCTGCTGAACGGATACGCTGCTGAACGGACACGCTGCTGAACGGATACGCTGTTGACAGGATACGCTGTGTATCACACGTATGCAGATGGGGTTTAAAGGGTTCAACTCCCCGATGAACTCCTGCATTCAATGCAGTTGCATCTTTGAAGACTATTGTTCGACTATCAATGTTAATTTATAACACAGAAGGCTTAACGATCCACATAATGGCTACGAACGTTACCAGAGCCATTGTTAGACAGACTTCTCATAGCTTCGCTTATGTTTTCATATATCGATACGAGAATCCTAGGGTATGAAATGGCAAGGTTTAGGGACTTTTCCCATCCTATCGATATACACCAGTTCAAGTTAAGTTCAAGTTGTTATTACTGTTGATAATTCAAGCCGGGTTCTAGTTGTTTCCTACTGTACTACTACATATTAAACAAGCTGGGCTTCGTTAATCATGGTGTTAACAACGTACACGGGTACAACCACCCTGTACTCGACAACCACGTATTTTAATATTTTAATACTTGGTCAGCAAACAGATACCTATACGTTTGTTCCTAGAGCTACTTCCACTTGGCCTACAACTACGGGTACATTCACTAATTCAGGGACTCTCACAAGAACAAAGCAAGGTATACTTGATCTTGGAGGAAATTCCAATATAGTTACAGTGATCCCCTATGTCCCATATTCCCAAACAACAAAGAACACAATAACCTATACTGGTAAAGCATTCACCACTACAATTACGGGGGCTGATGGTACCATTACTTATCAAGCGTATGTTCCTTACTCCACGTTAACCACCACCGTCACCGGAAATGATAGAGGTACAACAACAACTGTTACGGGTGCTGATGGTACCATTACTGTCTCTGCTAATGTACCATACTCAACAGTATCTACAACTTTGTACAGCGGAGTCACGACTGGGAAAACTGCCACTATCACAGGTAATGACGGTACTGTTACTGTAACTGCTCAGGTCCCCATAACTACCACAACCGTTACAACTACCGGAAGTGTGTCTAGCAGAGTAACTGCAACCACTTCAGGACTGACGGGTGTTGTTACTGTACTTGTAGGTGTACCTTATTCAACACTCTACCTTACTTTATACTATGGGCTTATTGGGTTTTCGGTTACTGTGCTGCAAACAGGTGATTCAGGTACGGTTACAGCATTTGCATTGGAACCCATTTTTGGAGGTGCACTTAATACGATTACAACAGATGTTACAGTTACCACAACTACGGTTTATGATTTCTTCCTTGATATTTTTGGTTGGATTGCTCAAACTTATGTTGCTGTTCCATATTCTACCATCACTGCAGCCACAGTTACAACAGCTGTCCCAGCTACCACTCAAACAGCTATTGATACTGGTGTTGATGGTACTGTGACAGTTTGGGTTGAAATTCCTTATAGTACAACAAAGACAACCGTAACACGTGATCAACCAGCAGCCACTGATTATGCCACAGGTGTAGATGGTACTGTAACTGTGGTAGTTGTCGTTCCAGAATATACTTACTCCACATCTTATATTTCAGGACTGGAGACAATTACAGTAACGACAGTTGATGGGAATGGTAACCCTACCACTTATGTTGAAATCCCCACGCCAACTCCATCTTCAACCTCGACATGGAGTTCTACTTATACCACAACGACAGTTACAACAGTTGAGGGAACTAAAACAGTTGTTGCTGTGATACCTACTCCATTTTCGACCTCATATGTTTCTGAAGTTGGAACATATACTGTTTCGGGTCTTGATGCAAATGGCTTTCTTACTACTTGGGTTGAAGTTCCTACCCCAATACCATCTTCGACATCAACATGGCCAGAATCTTATTCAACCACGTCGCAATTGACTATCGATGGAACAGAGACATTTATTGCGTATATTCCAACACCCACTTATTCAACATCGTACTATCCAGGACAATTGTCAACCACTTTTACAGTTGATCAAAATGGAAGTACATCAACTTATATCCTTGCACCAACTCCAACGCCATCTAGCACCTCAGAATGGTCTGAAACTTACTCAACTACTGTTGTTACTACTATAAATGGTGAGCAAACAGTTATAGCATTTATACCAGAAACTTCTGAGTCTTCTTCATCTGAATCCAGCTCGGTCTCTGAGTCTAGCACCATTTCAGATTCCAGCTCTGCTTTAGCATCAGAAACATCGTCTGCTTTTGAGTCCAGTTCCATTTCGGAATCAATTTCTGCATCGGAGTTATCATCTACTTTTGAATCACGTTCTTCTTCTGAATCAAGCTCTACTGCTCTATTGGAATCATCGTCTACTTCTGTGTTCAGCTCAACTACTGCATCAGAATCATCCTCTGCTTCTGAATCTGTTTCTGAATCCAACTCCGTTTCTGAATCAAATTATGCTTCTGAATCAAGCTCAACATCTGAATCTGCATTTGCATCGGAACCATCATCTACTTCGGCTGCTGAATCGGCTTCTGAATCGGCTTCTGAATTGAGTTCCGCTTCTGCTTCTGGATCTGCTTCTACATCAGAATCCTCCTCCGCTTCTGCATCAGAGTCATTCTCAGCTTCTGAATTGAGTACTGCTTCTGCTTCTGCTTCTACATCAGAGTCATCTTCCGCTTCTGCATCAGAGTCATCTTCCGCTTCTGCATCAGAGTCATCCTCCGCTTTTGAATCTAGTTCTGATTCTGGTTCTGGATCTGCTTCTACATCAGAGTCATCTTCCGCTTCTGCATCAGAGTCATCCTCCGCTTTTGAATCTAGTTCTGCTTCAGCTGCTGGATCTGCTGCTACATCAGAATCCTCCTCCACTTCTGCATCAGAGTCATCCTCCGCTTTTGAATCTAGTTCTGATTCTGCTTCTGGATCTGCTGCTACATCAGAATCCCCCTCCGCTTCTGCATCAGAGTCATCCTCCGCTTCTGAATTGAGTTCCGCTTCTGGTTCTGGATCTGCTTCTACATCAGAGTCATCTTCCGCTTCTGCATCAGAGTCATCCTCCGCTTTTGAATCTAGTTCTGATTCTGCTTCTGGATCTGCTTCTACATCAGAGTCATCTTCCGCTTCTGCATCAGAGTCATCCTCCGCTTTTGAATCTAGTTCTGCTTCTGCTGCTGGAACTGCTGCTACATCAGAATCCCCCTCCGCTTCTGCATCAGAGTCATCCTCCGCTTTTGAATCGAGTTCTGCTTCTGCTGCTGGATCTGCTTCTACATCAGAATCCTCGTCCGCTTCTGCATCAGAGTCATCCTCCGCTTTTGAATTGAGTTCCGCTTCTGCTTCTGGATCTGCTTCTACATCAGGATCCTCCTCTGCTTCTGCATCAGAGTCATCCTCCACTTCTGCATCAGAGTCATCCTCCGCTTTTGAATCGAGTTCTGCTTCTGCTTCTGGATCTGCTTCTACATCAGAATCCTCGTCCGCTTCTGCATCAGAGTCATTCTCAGCTTCTGAATTGAGTTCAGCTTCTGGTTCTGGATCTGCTTCTACATCAGAGTCATCTTCCGCTTCTGCATCAGAGTCATCCTCCGCTTTTGAATCTAGTTCTGCTTCAGCTGCTGGATCTGCTGCTACATCAGAATCCTCCTCCACTTCTGCATCAGAGTCATCCTCCGCTTTTGAATCTAGTTCTGCTTCTGCTGCTGGAACTGCTGCTACATCAGAATCCCCCTCCGCTTCTGCATCAGAGTCATCCTCCGCTTTTGAATCGAGTTCTGCTTCTGCTGCTGGATCTGCTTCTACATCAGAATCCTCGTCCGCTTCTGCATCAGAGTCATTCTCAGCTTCTGAATTGAGTTCAGCTTCTGGTTCTGGATCTGCTTCTACATCAGAGTCATCTTCCGCTTCTGCATCAGAGTCATCCTCCGCTTTTGAATCTAGTTCTGCTTCTGAATCGAGTTCTGCTTCTGAATTGAGTTCTGCTTCTGGTTCTGCAGCAGAATCATTCTCCACTTCTCTATCAGAGTCATCCTCCGCTTCTGAATTGAGTTCCGCTTCTAATTCTGGATCTGCTTCTACATCAGAGTCATCTTCCGCTTCTGCATCAGAGTCATCCTCCGCTTTAGGATCGAGTTCTGCTTCTGAATCGAGTTCTGCTTCTGAATCGAGTTCTGCTTCTGGTTCTGCAGCAGAATCATTCTCCACTTCTCTATCAGAGTCATCCTCCGCTTCTGAATCGAGTTCAGCTTCCGCTGCTGCATCAGAATCACCCTCCGCTTCTGAATCAAGTTCTGCTTCCGGATCTGTATCTGTATCAGAATCAAGTTCTCTTTCTGAATTGAGTACTGCTTCTGCTTCTGCTACTTTATCTGAATCATCCTCTACTTCTGCATCAGAGTCATCCTCAGCTTCTGAATCGAGTTCCGCTTCTGCTTCTGGATCTGCTTCTACATCAGAATCCTCGTCCGCTTCTGAATCGAGTACAGCTTCCGCTGCTGCAACAGAATCACCCTCCGCTTTTGAATATAGTTCTGATTCTGCTTCTGGATCTGCTTCTACATCAGGATCCTCCTCTGCTTCTGCATCAGAGTCATCCTCCACTTCTGCATCAGAGTCATCCTCCGCTTTTGAATCGAGTTCTGCTTCTGCTTCTGGATCTGCTTCTACATCAGAATCCTCGTCCGCTTCTGCATCAGAGTCATTCTCAGCTTCTGAATCTAGTTCTGATTCTGCTTCTGGATCTGCTTCTACATCAGAGTCATCTTCCGCTTCTGCATCAGAGTTATCCTCCGCTTTTGAATCTAGTTCTGCTTCAGCTGCTGGATCTGCTTCTACATCAGAATCCTCCTCCACTTCTGCATCAGAGTCATCCTCAGCTTTTGAATCTAGTTCTGATTCTGCTTCTGGATCTGCTTCTACATCAGAATCCTCGTCCGCTTCTGCATCAGAGTCATCCTCCGCTTTTGAATCGAGTTCTGCTTCTGAATCGAGTTCTGCTTCTGAATCGAGTTCTGCTTCTGAATTGAGTTCTGCTTCTGGTTCTGCAGCAGAATCATTCTCCACTTCTCTATCAGAGTCATCCTCAGCTTCTGAATCGAGTTCTGTTTCTGCTGCTGCATCAGAATCACCCTCCACTTATACATCAGACTTATCCTTCGCTTCTGAATCAAGTTCTGCTTCTGCTTCTGCTTCTAGTTCAGCTTCTGCTTCTAGTTCAGCTTCTGCACCAGAATCCTCCTCCGCTTCTGAATCAAGTTCAGTTTCTGCATCAGAGTCATCTTCAGCTTCTACATCAGAGTCATCCTTAGCTTTTGAATCGAGTTCTGCTTCAGAATCGAGTTCCGCTTCTGGATCTGAATCTGCTTCTACATCAGAATACTCTTCCGCTTTTGAATCGAGTCCAGTTTCTGCATCAGAGTCATCCTCCGCTTTTGAATCGAGTTCAGCTTCTGCTGCTGCATCAGAATTCTCTTCAGCTTCTGATTCGAGTTTCGCATCAGAGTCATCCTCCGCTTCTGAATCGAGTCCGATTTCTGCATCAGAGTCATCCTCAACTTTTGAATCGAGTTCAGCTTCTGCTGCTGCATCAGAATTCTCCTCAGTTTCTGAATCTAGTTCCGCTTCTGCATCAGAGTCACCCTTCGCTTTTGAATCGAGTTCTGCTTCTTCTACTGCGTCAGAATCACCCTCCACTTCAGCATCAGAGTCATCTTCAGCTTCAGCATCTGAATCATCCTCAACTTTTGAATCGAATTCAGCTTCTGCTGCTGCATCAGAATTCTTTTCAGCTTCTGAATATAGTTCCGCTTCTGCATCAGAGTCATCCTCTGCTTCTGAATCGAGTTCAGCTACTGCTTACGATTCTAGTTCAGCTTCTGCACCAGAATCATCCTCCGCTTCTGAATTGAGTTCAGCTTTTGCATCTAAGTTATCCTCAGCGTCTGAATCAAGTTCTGCTTCGGAATTGAGTTCTGCTTCTACATCAGTGTCATTCTCCGCTTCTGAATCGAGTTTGCCTTCTGGACCATCTTTTGCTTCTGAATCTGCTCCAAAGTCGTCGTTTGCTTTGGAATCCAGTTCTACTTTAGAATCCAACTTATCTTCTGAAATTAGTTCATTGTTAGAGTCATCATCTGCTACTGAATCGGCATTGGCTTCACAGTCTAGTTTAGATTCAACGTCTAACTCTGTCTCAGAGTCTCATACCGGTTCTACTTCGGAATCAACCTCAAATTCCAACTCTGCTTTTGACACTGCGTCTGCTTCTGAATCTAGATTATCTTCATCTTCTAAATCTAGCTCAGCATCCGAATCGACATCAACATCTGAGTACAAACCAGCTTCTCAATCCAGTTCAGCATCATCTTTTGAACTCAGCTCAGCTTCTGACTCAAAATCATCTGAAACATTTTCTACATCATATGGCCCTGATTCGATTTCGACTACTGTGACTACTACTGATGCTAATGGTTACTCAACAATCTACGTCGTTGTGCCAACACCAATTCCAAGTGTGACTCAATCATGGACTGGATCATTCACTACTACTGTTGCCACCACCGTTGATGGTACACTCACATTTATTGCAGAAGTTCCCGACGCTGAATCATCATCTGCATCATTATCTAGATCAGCCTCTGAATCTAACTCGTCCTCAAAATCTAGCTTTAGTTCAATCTCAGTATCCGAATCATCTTCAATCGCCGAAACCAACGCTGAAACAGCATCAGCATCCGAATCAAATTCAATTGAATCCTCCTCTCAATCATACTCCACATCTTATGGATCAAATTTGATAACCATCACTGTTATCACCACTGATTTTAACGGTAACCCTACTACATATGTTGTCGCACCTACTCCAACCCCATCTGTGACTGACGGCTGGACTGGATCATACAGTACTACTGTTGTTACCACTATTGACGGAACTCAAACGGTGATTGCTTATACTCCAGGCACATACCTGACATCATATGGTACTGGTAGTGAAACCACCACTGTTACCACCACTGATGCCAACGGTAACCCAACCACATATGTTGTCGCACCTACTCCAACTCCAAGTGTCACTGACGGTTGGACTG